CCCTCTGAGTCTCGTTCGCCCAGTGTGATGACGAAGCATCGTCTGGATCGCATAGAGCAATGCACCCCCAGCGCCTCCTTTGTGTCGAGGTTGGCATCAGGTTCCACCAATCGGCATGTAGGAAGCGTGCGCCGTTGCTGGGTAGAGGACGCAAGTCACCGGCGTAGACACGATTCGCCGCATTGTCATAAGCTCGATCGTCCACGTAGGTCGGATGGGGCGGTGTCCCTCGCATAGGATAGACAGACAAGTCGCCCCCCCCCCACATTCTCGACGATGTGCTTGCACGAAGTCTCGTGACTGCGAGGGCGATCTGCAAGATGTTCTGTCCTCCCTCCCGGTCCTACCCAATCACGCCCTTCCAATGCTTCGACGATCTCGATGCAGGAGCGTGACCGCCCGTAGACGACGTCGACGGACGTCTGCGGGACATTGCTCATTGGCTGCGCCCATCGTCTTGCTGGGCGAGCTCTAGCTTTCGGATGCGCCCTGCTCGATGTTGACGACGATCGCATTTCTTCATCATCATCATCATCAGGAATCACTTCAGGGGCTTCCGGTTCTGCCGGTACGTCAGCTTCGGGAGGTGTGAGAGGTCGTGGCATCGGGAAATCTGCGACGGCGCTCTCGATAACGCTGAACGCTTCCTGGAGGTGTGATATCGCCTGGGCGTCCCTTCCGCATTCTTGGTACGAGTGCTGATCGCTTCCACATGCAATGCACATTCTTTCCTCACACGAACCTTCCCGTAGCCGTAACGTTTTGAGAGCCGCCAGGAGCGTTGCTTTGAACTCCTGCACGTGGGCATTCCTGACAACGTCATGTTCGTCCTCCGCGTCGATGGTTTGTTCCCCTTCTGGTTCTTCGCCGTGGAGTAGCACGGAAACGGCCGCAGCTGGAGCAGCACCGTGACCTTCGGGCTGCTCAGTGGAACGCTCCTGGGAGTCTCTCACGGAGGCCTCACCAGGGCTATCCACATTTGGTTCAAGCGGCACCACCTCATACTCGTCGGGGATGAGTTCAGCAATGTCCTTGAGAATACGAGGTCGCCGTCTCTTTCTGTTGCTGATTGCTGCAAGCACAATTGCCTCAGCTGCAGCGAACCTGTGGAATGAACGCTCGATCCCACGAAGCGAGGCGAGGGTGTCATTCCGGTTTCCCCATTCCGGGAACATTTCCGGGAAACGTAACGCGACATGGAGGAGCCCGCATGCTAGTTCGACACAGTCACCCAATAATTCGGCTGCAGGATCGGAGTTGCCATTGAACATTTGCATGACTTCTTCTCGAGCGAAAAGAATATGCATGAATCCAGCGTATGCAGCGTTGCCAGGATCGTACATGGCCAGGAAACATGTGTGACCTTGGGCATCTTTGCTGAGTTCCCAGGCCACAACGACTTTGCCTTCCCGATCTGCGTGAACTGCGAAGCTGCCGCGGCAACAATGCGTAGACCACTGATGCAGCTCACCGTCTTGCCGGCATGAGTGTATGTACTCGGTGCGCAGCGCATGATGACGGCACGTAGGATGATGCCGGCGAACTGGTTCCTGTAGATGTACAATGCACACGCACAGACGTACTTGTTGGCGTTGTGCCAATCTTCCCATGTGAGGTAGTACTCGTTGTGATGTTTGTGTGCGCATCCTGGACAATAAGCCGCCCATTCGCCATTGCTGAGGGCACCTGTAAGTTGTCTCCCCTCTTCTCCTCTGCACTGTGCACACAGGAAGACTTTCCCGCGTACTGAAACGGTGTGGTCCGACGTAGAGCATGTTCGAGCACAAAACCAGTACGTTTCCAAATCGTAATAAGGTTCTGGCTGAAGAAGACTGATGTCGATCTCATACCATTCTGAAGCTCGTGCGTCTGCTGTCCGAGTTCGTACCCTTTCCAGTAAAATGTTGGGGTCAAAACGTCTCGGTTGGTTGCTGTACGGCAGTTCGTAACATGGGTGCGGAGCCACTCGTGGTGGATCGACTCTGCTTCCAGTTTCGTCGTGTCGACAATGTGCACGACTCCTTCACAAATGCGGAGAAGATCATAAGGGACCATGCAACAGCAGAGGATTTTCTCCAGGAGGAGCTGACGGTCGACGAAGGACATGTACATCGCAAATTGCACGTGGTCTATCGAGTGATACGTGGTTCGCATTGCTGGTACGAAATTCGGCCAGAACAGTGAACCAACCTGCACAACGCATCCAAGTGCACGGATCTCCAGGGCAATGAAGTTGATGCACCTGATGATCTCGCCGTCAAGGTTCGGTCTTCCAGTGAAACGTGGATCGTCATTGATTTTGACGACGACGGCCCGGGAAAACAATGCCTGCAAGTCGACGATCGGCTTCACGTACAGCTCGAAGAGATGATCGTCCGTGAGCACGTGATCCAAATGATTTCTTCCTCCTGCTTTAACAGGAGATTCATTTTCCTACCCAACCTGTTTCACACCGCTGTGTATAGGCTCAAGACGCACCCCTCGTGGAAGTCGCGAGTGAGAGGAAAAGTGTGCTGAGAACCAGTGGTTCTAGAAAGGTTGATTTTAGCCTTTAAGCTTTTATGGTAGCGGAGCTGTTGGCAACGGCCAGCAGCTGAAGAAGCAGATCCAGGGAAAGAAGGTAAGCAGCCGAAGGGCTGGCAGCCAGCTAACGAGCTGGAAAGAAGAAAGGAAAGAAAGCAGGAGTTAAGGTTTATCAACTACGCCCTGCAAGAGAAGAAGTTCGTTTTCCGGTGGGCATTATCACCGGAGGAAATTCGGAAAGAAGTCAACGGACAGCAAGAGTTAAGGTTCATCAACTACGCCTTGCTGAAGCCGAAGAAAGCAGGAGTTAAGGTTCATTAACTACGCCCTGTTGGATCGGTAGAAGGAAGAAGGTAAAGAAGCAAGAGCCTTGAGTCTGGACGACTTGCCTAGATCGTCAGAGCAATGGCTGAACAGCAAAGAGTAGACTTTGAAGCAATGTTGGCTGGCACAGGCCAGGCCACAGAAGCTTTAGGAAGAGTTGCGAGCCAAACAGCGACTCAACAACAGCAGCTGACGGAAGCAATGCAAAGGCTTACTGAGGCAGCCGGTCAAGGTGCTGCTCAAGCTGCAAGAAACTCCCCAAGTCTGGGAGGAGAAGGAGCGCCAAGGGCGCAACCCTCAGGTGTTCCGTTCGACACCGGAGAAAAGATCTTGAAGCCGCCAGAAGTCTTCAATCCGGCAACACTAGAAGAAGAAGTCTCTCAATGGAGTGACTGGAGTCGCCTTTAAGAACTTCCTAGCATTCATGGACTATGAATTCCTGGCAGACTTGAAGAAAGCCGAAGCATCAACGGATGCACTGGACATCGAGGATGACATAGATGGATTTTATGCAACGAACGAAGGACGAAAGATAAGAGGAATGAAGCTGTATTCTGTTCTGAGCAGCTACTTGAGGAATCGTCCGTTGAAAGTGTTGAGAAGCACTGACAACATGGATTTGAAGTATGGAGGCGACTCACAACGGAACTCGAACCATCCTCTAGATCTCGAAGTCTGGCAATGGCCCAAGCTTTGGTAGGATTCCCTGCAATGGCAAAGGGAGCTAGCCTGATGGATTATGTCCTTACGTTCGAGAAGCTGGTCAACGAATACGAGAAGTTATCGACAACGAAGTATGATGACAACCTGAAGATCGGAACGTTGTTGAAAGGCATCCCTCAGAATCTGAAGCAGCACATCATGGTAGGAATCAATGAGAAGACAAGTTACAACGATTTGAGAACGAAGCTGCTACAGTACGAAAGAAGCAACCAAACGTGGTCTGCTGAGAACATCTTGGGATCACTGAGTGTTCAGACCCCAGGAGCAAGTTCAAGTTCCAAGGAATATCAAGGACCAATCCCAATGGAGATCGACCGGCTAAAAGGAAAAGGAAAGCATGACAAAGGAAAAGGAAAAGGAAAAGGAAAAGACAGGAAAGGCGGAAAAGGAAGAGGTCGCGGCAAAGGCCGTGGCAAAGGACGAGGAAAGTCTGTGAGGCAAGTGGAGAATGGTGGCTACGGAAGTCAAGGAAATGGTTCAGGTGGAAAAGGATCAAGATCTGGAGTGGAATGCTACAAATGTGGAAGGTATGGTCATTTCGCGTCAGAATGTTGGGCACCAGCGAAAGGAGGAAAGGACTCAGGAAAAGGAGGAAAGTCAAAAGGAAAGATGCGACAAGTGCGCGAAGGTGAAGATGACTGGAGCCAAGATCACGAATGGTCAAGTGGCGTATGGACTGCGCCATCACAGTTGAGCACCAGTTCACATCCAAGTCAGTATCGAAGTCAAGAGCAATCGCAAGTGCGAGTTGCGCAAGCTGCCAAGGGGAGTGAACAAGTGAGAAGAATCAATGAGAGGTCAATGGCAAGAATCGAGGAAGTTGATGAAGAAGACGATGAAGAGATCGTAGATCTGATCGAGATGTTCCGAGAATGGGGAAACAAGCCCTACGTGAGAATGGTGAAGACGAAAGAGGTTCAAGTGTTCGATATAAGTCAAGGAGATGAAGAGCTGAACGAATTGGACGAGTACCAGATGTGGTATGAAGAAGACCGACCAGAGGCCAAACAGGAATCGGTTGAGAATCCAAGTCCAAGTCCAAGTACCTTAGACAGTGGAGCAGACTGCCATGTCTTGCCGTTAAGCTACTATAGCGAAGACCTCGGAGAAGTGGAGCTTCCAGCTCTGAAGATGATGACGGGAATGCAATTAGAACGACCGAAGCAAGAACCAACATAACGTTCGAATTCCAAAGATCCGATGGAAGAGTGATTAAGGTCAAGGACACAGCCGTGTTTGGTCAAGTGACCCAACCACTGTTCGCAGTGGGAAAACTGTACGAAGTTGGATGGGGCATCGAAGCCCAAGATGCATACAGTGCGTTCCTGACGAAGTTGGTGAAGCGAAGGAATGGAACGTCGGTATCGTATGTCCCGATAAGGTTTTCAAGGAACTCAACGGTGACAGATCTGAGAATCTACCGAGCAGCAATGGAAAATGGACAAGACGATGTGCCGATTTCAGTCAGGAAACTCACCCTGACGAAGGAACTGAAGGATGACATAGAGAATGGCACGTACGAAGAAGGTTGGTTTTATCTCACCGACGGACGGCCAGTGAGACTTGACTGGGACGTAAACACAACGTACAGCCTTGGAAAAGATGAAGGAAAATCGTTCAAGTACAGAACAACGCTGAGGACCAGATATGAAGAAGAACAGATAGTCTGGGAAGAACTGGAGTTTTATGAGTGTGCCGAAGAGTGGAGAGAGAAGAGCACAATGGTCATAGTGCCAGAGACTGAGAAGTCAGTGGTCATTACGATCATGGAGAGATTTCCGAGAAGTGTTGAGGACTACGGAGAGTACAGCAGTCCTTACAAGAGAAAGGAAGCAGAGGAAAAGCGCGACGTGGAAATGGAACCACAAGAACAAGAAGACCTATGGAAAGGAAGGTCAGAAGAAGAGTTGCAGCGAGAAATTGACAAAGGAGTAGAGGAACTGGCACAAGCGCCAGGCCCAGAACAGCATTTGCAAGAAGAGAACGATGAGAGTGAACGGAAGAAGGTTGAAGAACAACTGCCGAAACTTGGAGAAGCAATGGATGAGAGAATGAAGATTGGAGGAATTGAGCTGACACCAGCGAGCACGCTAAAGCAGCTAAGACATGCTTGCGAGTTCCTCAAGGTAGGAAAGACAGGAAGTACAGTCCAAATTTGGCAGAGACTGAAGGAAGCTGTAGCTTCGAACAAGATGAAGGAACTAGTCGAAATCTCAAAAGGACTCGAGATTGAGTTCTCAAGAGAGCCAGAAGGAGAAAAGAGACCAGAAGCGCCGAGCGAGGAAGAAAGAAAGAGACACGAGCTGACGCACCTACCGAAAGCGGACTGGTGTGAGAGTTGTTCGGCAACGAGGAGTAGAGAAGATGACTTCAAGATAACAGAGAAGAAGCATGAAGCGTCGTTGGTAAGCATGGATTTCAAGTTCACCGGAACAAGGAACGAAGAAGATGCAAAAGATGTGAAAGATGCATTATGCATAAGCCTGATCATGGTAGACCAAGAGACGAAGTTTGTCCACGCAATCCCCGTCCAGAGCAAGGAAGTGACAAGCTATCTGGTAGAAGAAGTCTGTAGAGTACTGATGCTAATGCAGCCGAAAGTGATCCTGAGAACGGACACCGAACCAGCAATGATTGCGTTGAGAAAGAAGGTACAGGCGATAAGGAAAATGCAGAAGCTTGAGACGGAGATTCAAGATGTTGCACCAGACACACACCAAGGAGCACAAGTTGAAAGATGGGTACAAACAGTGAGAAACCTATCGAAGACTTTGGTGTATGGAGTTGAAAAGGAAGCGAAAGTGAAGATCACAAGCGAGAGCACGCTGTATCCATGGGCACCAAGACACGCAGCATTCCTGCTGAACAGGTTTGTTGTTCAACAAGGTAAAACCCCGTTCGAGTTGGTATTCGACCGTGAGTACAAGGGAACTCTAGTTCCATGGGGCAGTGTGGTTGTGGCAAAACCACTGCCGAAGACGAAGGAGAAAGGTGAAGCATGGAAGAAAGGAATTTTCGTTGGAAAAGATATGGTTTCGAACATGAATCTGGTGAGCACCAGAAGCGGAATCATCAAGAGTCGAACAATGAGACAATGTTCGCCAACGTTCGAAGTGGAGACATTAGCGAATGCATGTGGGACACCGTGGAACTATAGCCAAGAGCAGTTGACAGGACGGTTGAAGCAGCTGAAGAGGCTAATGTCATCGAGTGGAATCGAAGCGGCGCCGATCGAAGGACCGCCAGTACAAGTCCCGAGAACTCCAGCAGTTGGGTTGGAGACACCGCAGTACAGCCCGACAGCGTCGGAAAGACCAAGCAACGCAACGGCGTCTGATCCACCAACAAGTGATGATGATGATGATGATGATGATGATGATGATGAAGATCCTGGCGAAGGCCAAAAGGGTTCTGAAGCAAGCAGCAGGAAAGGAGCAAAGGCAAGGAAACGAGATGAAGCGAGTTTGACCTCTGGTGAAGCCGAGGAAGAAGAGCCGGAAGGCACGAGTAAAAGAGAACTCGAAGGAGGAGCCGCAGAAGAGCCTGAAGCAACAAGGCCAAGAGTCGAAGAAGGAAGCGGACAAGTTGAAGAACGAGCTGAGAAGATCCAGAGAGGAGAACCTTCGGGAACGGTGAGAAGGATAATGGCCACAAGAAGTGTGCAAGAAGTGGCATCATTCCTTAGGAAGGATCTACCGAAGTACCATGATGACGAAGAGGTTGAGCTAGAAGAGTTTGAAGGACTCGAAGTCGAGCTTGAAGAGTCTGAAGAAGAAGAAGCTCAGAGCTTGGAGAGGATGAAGAGTTCGAAGAAAGTATGCCGAAGTGGTCGAACAAGTTCGAAGATGGACCTCCGAAGTTGGAAGAAGATGAGCTGACAAGAGTCGATGTTGCGTCAAGAGAGCACGAGATGAGCCGACTCACAGAAATGAAGGTCTTGAAAGAGCTGCCAGAAGGCACAAATGTGAGCAGCTACAAGTATCTTTCAACCAAGGTAGTCTACGATTGGAGGCATCGAGACAATGAATGGCAAAGGCGTGGCCGGTTAGTTGCCCGCGAGTTTAGATGGCTAGGCTCAACGGACATTGCAACGCTATTCTCTCCAACGGGAGTGGCGAGCACAGTGAAGTTGCTCTCAGCAATGTTTGTGTCGTCGAACGACCACATACTTGGAAGCATCGACGTAGGAGACGCCTACTTGATGGTAGAGCAAGAGGAGCCAACAGTCGTCGAAGTCGACGGAAAGTACTACGAACTCGGATTCACGTTGCCAGGACAACGGATAGGGTCAAGCGCGTGGTTCAACAAGCTGAAAGGATACCTCGAAGAGTACGGACTGAAGTCCGACGAAGGACTACCTGCCTTGTTCTACAGAAGACCAGAAAAAGGAAAAGCTGGAATGGTGGTATTGTCACATGTTGATGACATGGAACTGTACGCAACGAAGGAAGAGTTCCAGGAATTGATCGAGTTCTTGAGGAAGAAGAAATTGAAGATCAAGGTCGAAGGACCATTGAGTGTATATGAAGGTTCAATGAGTTTTCTGAAAAGAGGTTTCAGCGCCGTGAACGACGGAGACGTTGAGATAACGATGAACTCGAAGTACATCGAAGGATTGATCGAAACGTTGAAGTTGGAACAGTCGTATTCGAAGAAGTTGCCATGCCCGGCAGACAACGGAAGAGCAATGCAAGCGAAGAAAGGTGGAATGGATCCATTGTCCGAAGAAGACCACCACACGTACAGGAAAGGTGTAGGTATACTGTTGTACTTAGCACCAGAAAGGCCCGATCTAATGTATGTGTTGAAGAAGCTTTCGACGAAGCTAGCAGCGCCTGTTGAAGCAGACATGGAACTGCTAAGGCACGCTGCAAAGTATCTGAAGGGTACACCTGATGTGTCGCTGATACACAAGAAGAGTTTTCCAGGAAGAAGTTTCATCGAAGAGAAAAATGAAAGGAAAGAAGAAGGAGGAGAAAGGAATATCGTCACTGTTGGAGATAGTGACGGACTCGGATTGGGCAGCTGACCGAGAGTCAAGACAAAGTGTATCGTGTGGAGCGATCATGCTGAATGGAAATTTGATCCATTTTCAAAGCAAGCGACAGAAGAGCATAGCTCTAAGCTCATGCGAAGCGGAAACGATAGCCGCAACTTCGACGGAGTGTTCCTGAAGGCACTGTTGACAAGGATCCTCGGCAAAGAGCCGAGGATGGTGATGTACTCAGACTCAAGCAGTTCAAGACAACTGATTGCGCGGAAAGGTCTGGGGAAAGCACATCATCTCGACGTTGATCTGTTATGGATTCAGAGTATTCCGAGGTTGATCATCAAAGCGATCAAAGGAAAGGACAACCCAGCTGATCTGGGAACGAAAAGCTTGAGCAAAGACAAGATCAGGAAGTATATGGCAAGCCTTGGATATGTAGGAGAAATTGTTGATCAAGAAGAAGTTGCAGGCAATGGCCAAGTGAGAAGATTGAACGGCAATGGCCGACCCGGCAATGGCCGGAAAGTGAGCGAAGAGAAGTTGACAAAGATCATCCAAGTCGTCACCATGGCTGTTCTTGTAGCCCTAGGTGAAGAAAATACCAAGCGCAAAGTTGAAGATGAGAAGCCTAAGGCGAAGGCCAAGGCAAAGTGGGGAGAAGCGGTTGTCGAAGAAGTGGAAGATGATGAAGAAAGCGGAAAGAAGCAAGACGAGATGATTGATCTCGAGAAGAAGGATCCAGAGGGATTTCCAAAGGAAGCGCTTGAAGAAGCGAAGAAGCGAGATGAAGTGAAGAAGGCCATGGAGGCAAAGGCCAAGGCATCGAAGGAAGGCACCGGAAAGAAGCGAGGATCAAAGGATGCCAAGAAGAAATCTGAGAAGAAAGAGAAGAAGGAAAAGAAGGAAAAAGGGCCAAAGAATGACAAGAAAGCCAAGAAAGAAAAGAAGGAGAAGAAGTCCAAGAAGAAGGACGAGGCCAAAGAGGCCAACATCAATGCAGAGGACCTGTAAGGGGTCAAAACGTGCCGATTGACCAAGCGGTCATGAGGGCGAAGGCCCATGAAAGCCCGTAGGCTTGAGCAGTTTGCTCGAATCAAAAGTTTCACCGTGCGAAGCGAGATGTTTCACAACGAATGCATATGTTTAAAATGTGTTTCAAGGTGAAAAGGTGATGGAGTGATGCAGAGGCCACATGCGAGAAATGTGTGCAGTAGCTCCAGATGATCCACACACCACGAACCTACAATGTGAAGACGATAGCTCAATGGAGCATGCGAAAAGAGAGCCGCCCAATGAGGTGTGCGAGAAAGGTGTGGAACGTGCTCGAAGGAGCATGAGAGACAGGTGGTAGAGAAATGAATAGGATCGAGATTCGTTTCACCAACGAAACTCGATGAGGGCGTAACAGGAGATTCATTTTCCTACCCAGCCTGCTTCACACCGCTGTGTATAGGCTCAAGACGCACCCCTCGTGGAAGTCGCGAGTGAGAGGAAAAGTGTGCTGAGAACCAGTGGTTCTAGAAAGGTTGATTTTAGCCTTTAAGCTGTTATGCTTTCATGTGCTGGAGGGAAAGGAAAACATGGGACGTTGCCGATCCAGTCGCTTCCCTCTTCTGCTGCCCCAATTGGTGGATAGCCAAGGCCGCCTGGTTCTTGAAGCCGTCGACCTTGTCGGTGTACTCTGCTTCCCAGCATTGCAGCATTGACCAGCCCCTGTCGAGCATCGTGGTTGAAACTAAATTATAAGTTCTATAAGTTCGATAATTAACTATAGAAGTTATACGTCACTTATAGAACTTATGGAAACATGGTTTCCGCAAATTTAAGGCCGTAAGTAACTTATAATTAAATCTTGTTTTTTGATGTTTTTTTGTTTTTTTAAGCTTTGTAAAAAAACATATGAAAAGGACGTTTTTGGAAATATGCATGTTTTTCATTGTTTTTCATGATTTTGCAGCCGTTTTGGTTGGGCTCGATTCCTGAGCCTAAACCTATAAGCCCTATAAACCTATAAGCCCTAAACCCTAAACCCTTATTTGGGCTGTTTTAGGGTTGACTAAGGGTTTCATATAGGGTTTCGGGTTGATTAGACCTGTTATGGGTTGGGGCTTTATATATAGGGTATATATAGGGCGCCCGAAATTTGAACGCTTGTATAGATTTGGTGCATGTGCACTTTCCGTCCGCCGCCTTTTTGGCTGAGCACATGGGCCCATGCCGCAAAGAAAGTGGTGGAAGGCTGGGCCTGGGCTCTGCCTTCAATAAGAAATAAGGGGCTCAGTTTTCAAAACGGGTTCGCTGGGCACCGGACCAGCTGCGGCAGAGGGCGTGCGGTCGAGCTGCCTGGACCTGAAGGCAACCGCATCGGTTGGACCTTCAGGCAGGCAGCGAGACCCACGCCTTCCGGACCACAGCTGGCGGCTGCCATGGACCTGTGGGCGAGTGGACCCACGCATGGGCACTCGGACCTTCGGGAATGGCAGCAGTGGCCCCTGAAAAATATCTTTTGGAAAACCCTATGTGAATTTTACCTCCTCCCTGTGTGCAGGTCTTCGACGCCGACGCCGAACACCGCTGCTGAAAGGCACGCGTGGGAGGCGGAGAGAGTGCAAGCTCGCCTGGACTCTTTGGGCGAAGAAGAAGAAAGCTGGCTTCTCTATAGCGGTGTTTTTTTTTTGTCTTTTTTTTTAGGGGTTGCTTTGCACATAGAAAATTCGGCCGTGTGGAAAACAACAAGGCGAAACTTGAGTCCAAAACTGGTGGTGGGTTTTCCTTGAAACAACACAGTACTTAGCCTATTTTCCCCAGCCATGTCTTCCCAATATAAAAAGCAGATGGTTTTTGCTGTAGGCACAGGCCCAGGTGCCTACAACAAAAGGCCACCGAAAAACACCCACAAACTACTAAGCCCTGAATCTCTCCATTATTGTTGCAGCAGGCAACGTTCGGAAGCTATGTCTTTGGTGGCTGTAACAGCCACAATTCGCACCCAGGTGCGACTTGTGTTTTGCCACAGTATTCATGCAGTTGTTCTCGCAGCCATGCTTTGATTGACAAAATCCAAGGGCCCCGAACCAAAAACCCTAAACTGCCATAGGGCTCTCCTCTTGCTTTTGGCCATACAATTGCACGGTTGGGCAGCCATGCAAAGCTAGGGCCAGCGATGGGGCTGTATGGGCACAGGTACAGATCGCACCCAGGTGCGTCTTGCAAGTGTCCGCCAAAAAAACAGCTCTAGAAGCCTGAATCTCTCTTATTGTCCAACGTTCTGAAGCAATGTCTTTGGTGGCTGTAACAGCCACAATTCGCACCCAGGTGCGACTTGTGTTTTGCCACAGTATTTATGCACTTCTTCTCGCAGCCATGCTTTGCAAATATCACTATATCACGATCGTCCAGCATAGCCCTAAGCAGACGACAACGTTGTTCATTAATATGGTTTGATATGATGATGTCCACAGAAAACAGAACGCCCTACCCACAGGTTCCCAGACCAAACCCCCTAAACCGCCAAGATGGGGTTCTCCTGTAAGGACAGGGACAGATCGCACCCAGGTGCGTCCTGCTTCTGGCGACACAGACAGTTGCATGTTTGGGCAGCCATGCAAAAGCCAGAACCCTAAATCTTTAAAACCCCAACCATGGATAACGCATTGGCATCCAGGATGTGCGGTAAGTTTGGCCACAGGAACAACTCGCACCCAGGCATTCGTGAAACCCTGCTATTCTTTGTATCATGTACTGACAAATATAGTACGACTACTACTACTACTACTACTACTACTACTACTACTACTACTACTACTACTACTACTACTACTACTACTACTACTACTACTACTACTACTACTACTACTACTACTACTACTACTACTACTACTGCTACTAGTACTAGCTAGTACTAGTACTAGTACTAGTACTAGTACTAGTACTAGTACTAGTACTAGTACTAGTACTAGTACTAGTACTAGTACTACTACTAGAAGAAGGTCCAGCGGACCCGGGGGAAACGTCCAAAGCAGACTACTTGGGTTCCTTGGCTTAGCGCAGTCACTCGGTCAGCCGATTGTTTCCTTGCTCTTCTCGCAAGTCCCGAATCACAGTGCCGCTCGATCCCGTTCGGATCGCACTCAAGAGCTCGCAAAACCTGCTGCGCAGCTGCAGTACGTTAACAAGCACTATGGCGGGTTTGTTGCCTTCGGCTAATAGCTCGGCTAAGCAAACTGCTTTGAGCTACGACCTGAGAATTGAGTGTCCACAGCTGCAGTCGAGATGACGTGAAGCTGTACAAAGCAAGAGCAAACGACATGCAATCGCTACGTCACTGCATCACATGCTACAATGATGCTTGCTGCAAAAATGCAACATCACAATGCACGAAGCGAGGGGACATGTCTCTATCACACAAGCACAGCCGCTTCCAGCAGCCCCGGGTTTTAAAGAGACATGGATCCCCGATTCCGTGCAAACGGCGAAATCTAGACAGGCTAACCTACGGGCCACCACCTGCTCAACGCGCGCTCTCAGATCAAGAGGATGGCCTGTCTTGGCCTCTGGGCGGCCCTTTCTCGCGATGCCTACGCCTCGGCTCGAAGTCCAACTTCGCAGGGATAGAGCGATCCCACAAGTCAGAGAACCAAGCCTTGTAGGTCTCCGCGAGGATCTCCCTCGGCTTCTGAGGTCTCGTAGCGCATGACCATTTCAAAATTACACCTGCTGGCGCGGGTATAATTGTGCGACCCGGCATACACACACGTGGTCGAGCCACGGTCCACTAAGAGCGTTTTTGCATGTAACGCTCCAGACCAACCGGTCTGTCGGGGGTAGATGAGCGACAACGGCTTCCCCGATATGACGTGGACCTCGACGCCGGACTCCCTCAAACTCTGTTTTTTCATCGACCAGCAAGAGAACCTTGGTACCGGACCGGCACGCGGCACATAGTGCCGGTGTGATCTGATCACAATCGTATGTGTACGCCGTGGCCAAAATGGCGACTGGGCCTCCCTCGCCCGCAGACGGCGAGATGTCAACGACAGCCTTGTCAACCCACTCGCTGTCCGGGAGAAGCGTGGCCGACGCAATGCTGGCGTCATACCCAGTCGTAGGCACCTTGTTGTGGGATGCCTGACGGAGCGAGTGTTGCGCCCGGAGCTGGGTCTGGAGGCCCGCTGTCCTCGTCTCAGACCTCTCTAGCTCTTTGCGTAGCTGAGCATTCTCCTTTCTCAGCAGCTCTAGCTCGAACAAAGTACCGCCTGATACAGCAGTGGCTGGGGAAACAACCTCGGCGGTTGAAGTGGGGCTCGCACCGGTGGGTGCGGGAGCGCTGCGATCGCTCCTAGGCGGCAGGGAAAGAGATAGGCGGCGCGGGGTAGATGCAGCTACGAGTGCATGTGTTGAAGCTGGCCCATGACCTCTCAAGGGGGCTTTCTCACCATGGAAAAGAAGCATTTCGCTTTTGTCCTCTGAGGTCTCGTGGGAAAACCCACGGCCAGCTGCTATCCGACGCACAATAGCACGCGCTGCGCTGTTCAGCCCAATCGCCTTTCCTGCCTGCCCACTCCCTTCAATACTGTCCAGCAAAGACTCAATCCGCTTGGTAATTTCCTGCTTTTCGGAATTGGTCAAGTCACCCAGCCTAAGCCCTTCACGACGGTACACGGAAACTGGTTCCGGTCGAAACACAACTGCACCCTCAGTCCCAACATTGGCCTCGGGCTCTTGGCCGCAGAGTCGTAGCATCTGCTTCGCGGATCGCAGGGTCCTGACATACACCTCTTTCTGGGTACGGGGGTTTTCTGGTTTGGTGTATCTCAATTCCCAAACATATATAAATCCAAAAGGGAGAAAACTCATCTCAATCTACATCTCAATCGGAATATCTCATCTTAAACATTTCCTTAAAAACTCCCGATGGGAATAACTCATGCATATTCCACCCAGTTGGATCCTTCCTTTTTCTCATACAGCATCAGGGGTAGCGCGAGGGCCACGTGCAGTCTCAAGAAGTCTCCCGGCCGCCACTACGGCCTTCAAGTGAGCCCCACCACCCCTGATCGCGTTCAGGCTCGCTTGAGCTCAAGGATCCTCTTCGCCAGCTCCTCCAAGCGGGTGAAGGGTTGGACTTCAGATGCTCCCACCATCGTCACGACCTCGATGCCGTGACCTCGCGATGGCGCATCACCTGGGTTCGAAAAGGAAGGCACTCGTGATACCCACCACATGGATGGGTGCTCCTGGTCCAACTGGGAGAAGATTCGGGCAAGAGTATGCATGGCCCAGCTTCTGCTGGCCCCCTTTATCACGAGGCTGCGGGTGGCGTTGTTGTCCACCCACCACACTACTCTTCGGGACTCCAGGATGGAACTCAATTCCATCATGGATGCAAGAATCGCGAACATTTCGATTTCGCAAATCAACTGGCGGCAAGTCCAACTCCCGCCACCCCTGACTCCCAGGAGCCATCCGTCCAAAGGTGGAGGACATCGGTTGTCATGAAGCACCTCAAAATGCGCGGGGTCTCGTCCTGCAAAAGGCGGATGGTATGACGGCAAAAATCTCGGAGGTCAAGGGGGCTGAAGTGTAAGCCACCCACTATACGCGAAAGCACATGCGAGGCGTGTTTCAAAGCCCTGCCAGCGTAGAAGCCAGAAGCGTATTGCAACAAACCCTGCAGGACCTGGGCAAGCTGCCTGCTAATCTCACCCCTAGAACCAACCTCCTGAAGCTGGGCTACAATGCGCTCGATGCGACCCTGCTTGTTGGCAAGGCTCACCTCTCCTTGGGCTACCCTGTCCAGGCCCAAGGTCATCCCCAAGACGTCAAAGCTTGGAGCAAAGGCACGACCCTTCACACCCGTCTTGGCGTGACGCCACCCCAGGCAATCCAAAAAGTCGCTCACAACCGAGTCCGCACTCTCGGCCGTGGCCGCTGGACATAACGGGGGGTAGTCGTCGAAGTACACCCCGGAAGGAATCCAGAGCAGTCGATTGATCAAGAACCACAAGCAACGGCTCACCCGGTTAAAGGCATATACTGCTGCGGTACTACCAAAAAGCAAGCTGTTTGACAAGCACAGCGCGTCGCGCCCATCCTCTTGCCGCACTGCTATGACTGCCAGAGGCCGGTGGGCTGGCAGAACTGCAAGCTGTTTATACGCTTTGCTCAAGTCAAGGCACTTTCCGCGCCACTCCTTCGCCTCGGGGTGCGCCCTGCCCCCGTGGATCTCGCGGGCAACGAACAGGGCCATGGCGGCCAGGTAGTCACCGTCTTGCAAACGCAAGTGGATGCTCGATGTGTACCCCGAGTTAAGCTGGGCCTCGAGGCAGTTGTCGATTGGGCGTGCTTTGCCCTCAGCACCCTGGAAAAATGACGAAGCGGCGTATCACCGTCCAGTCCTCTGTCTCAAGTCGGGATGAAACTTCATCCCTGCTGTAAAACGGCCCCTCAAGGAAGCCGAGCGTCACCTCCTCTTGAGATGCCTCCGCCAAGACTCTTGCCTCCTCAGCATCAATCGGCTCGGACTTGCTCAAAAGCGCCTCCCGTCTGACCTGTGCAGTCTGGAAGAGTTCGGCTTCAGTCAAGGCCGCGGGCACAAGCTTGTAGTCGAAGCACGGAGGGCACTCTGACCCCCACCAAAGGCACCCCCTCCTTGAGGAATGTGATGGTGAGGTTCTCCCTCAAGGCCGCGAGCGTCACAGCCTCCAAAGGATTGGCTGAATCCATTGGATGCGGCACCTTCTTCGCCTCATCCACAAACTCAGAAGGACTCCTAAGAACCCCTACTTGAACCCAATCCTCACAACCATCCTGCAAAGGCGAACCACTAGGGGTTCCAGGCTCAAGCGACGCAAAGGCTGAGGTTTCCGGGATGCTCCCTCCCTGAACAGCGCCTGACAAAATCGGGGCTCCAGGGATGGTCCCTCCCTGAAGGGTGCTAGTGGAACCGGGAGCTCAGGGATGGTCCCTCCCTGAAGGGTGCTAGGGGAATCTGGGGCCTCAGGAGCCTCAGGGATGGTCCCTCCCTGAGGGTTGCCAGGGGAGAGCGGGGCTCCAGGGATGGTCCCTCCCTGAAGGATGCCTAGGTCCTGCTGCGCCAGAACACCCCCTATCGACGGGCGCAGAAGCTTCAGGTGAGGCAAGGGGGCAAAAGACCTCCGAGGCATCCACGCGACCTGGGAGAACTCCGACACGAGAGGAGCATGTCTGTCTGCCGGCGAACTGCAAAGCTTGACTCCGTGCGGTGGGTTGGGGAACCAACGAAAAACCCGCCGCCAGCGCCCGCTGGGCCACGCAGAGAGAATACCTCTGTGCAAGGATACAAGGATACGCGGCTTCATCCTTGGTTGCAAAACGAACACTCCCGCATTCAACGATCCTGCCCCACGGCTTGTGAAGGTGATTTCCCGGGCAGGATGCACGGAGTGATTCAAAGCACTCGGGGGAGCACAGCAGCTTGGTTCCCTTGGGCCTGGCGCCCCCATGGCAGCATTGATCAAAGCACACCTCAGAAAGACGGGGCAGGAGGCGATGACTGGGTTCAGACGGCTCAAACGCCGCAAGAATCTCCCACAAGAAACTATTGCGCGGGTTCTCAATGCAAACTATGATGCTGTTGTCAAGACAATATCTCAGCACTCTATAGCCGAAAGCATAGAGCCGATTGGCAGTGTCAACCCGGCAAGAGTCCACCGAGCCAGGTTGTAGGCTGGGCAGCCCCAGCGGGAAGTCTCGGCTGCGCAGAGGAGACGGCCCTATCTCTCCATTTGGCAAAGGTCTGCCTCGCGCCTTGCTGCTTGTCCCACATGGCAAGCCAAGATGCACGAGGAACGGAGGATGTTTCTTCATCAGATCCCAGAAAAGGTTCTGCCCGACTTCAGAGGACAGGTCACGCTGAGCTACAGGCACACAAGAATCACAGTGGTGATGGTCAAAGCTGTCCGTACCCCCTTTGGCTCAAGGCCGCTTTGCTCGAGGTGGTTAAGCCACCAGGGACGCCGTAGAAGGGGTGGGAGTCCGTAGCTAAAGGTCTGGCTTTGCTTGGAACCCTACACGTAGGTAGCGGCCCCCTCTGGGACAGCCTGGAGGCGTAGGTGTGCTTGGTGCTGTGTTTGCTTTGTAGCTGGGGCTTCTTAGCATTGCGCAGTTCCTTGTGAGCGCCCGCTTGCAAGAAGAATCCAAAGCTTGGCTTTGGATTTCGCACTGTAAACACTTTGCAAGCTGCATTGGCTCTCCCTTGAGTCTTTGTGGGTTGAGCGCTCGAAAGTTGCGTCAACTGAGCCCTCAGTTGTCCTGCCACCTTTCTCTAACTAGTCGAGACTGAGAACGCCCGTTCTCTTTCTCTTTGTTTCTCTTTCTTGCTTTACTAGTGAGACTGAGAACGCCCGTTCTCTTTCTCTAACGCTTCTCTTTCTTGCAACTTGCTGAGATTGAGAACGCCCGTTCTCTTTCTCTTACTTTTTACGTTGTGTTCCCTTTCTTTATTAAAGTTGGGAACGCCCGTTTCCTTCCTTGTTAAGTTGCTGAGTGTGAACGCACGTTCTCTTTCTTGCAAACTTCTTAAGGGTGGGAGCTTCTTTACTTTATTTGCACCTTTTGGCAAATTTGTCTTGCGCATTGTGCAGTACGGATAGCTTCGGCGTAAGGTATCTGCACCATGTCGCAAGATCGAATCAGCAACATCGATGGAAGCGCATTTCAGTGTCTTGCCGACTTTATGTTGGGTCATCTCACTGAGTATGATGCTCTCTTTGCCAGAACACCATCAACACATTTGCTGGAGTATCTTAGAGATGGATGCATCGTGTCTACACAAACTATGCAAGAATTGCGCCAAGTGCAGGGCTCAGAGCTCCAATCTATCTTACTCGTCAACCCTAGTAAGAGTTTCCTTCACAATCTAAGGAAGGGTCTTACACAACAGATGAGTATAACGATCGTGAGTAATTTGCACAGCTCACTTTCCATATCAGACATCCCCTGTGTACTCTTCAGGAGTTATGATGAAGACTTCCTTCGTCAAATCCACAGCCTGACGGTTATTGGTGCCATTGAAGTGCAGGGCAAGCGGGAACTTGTATATTTGGTCACTTACATTCCCAGCAGCTACCCTGTCCATCACACTTGCTACTACATTGCCATAACGCCTTCCATGAAGCAAGAAGCCGGCAATACTGAAGTCATTATCGCTGGCACTGTTGGAACATTTGACGAGGAAGTTAAACACCTCAGTCGAGACTTTGGACTGGCTCACATTAGGAAGCCACAGCAGCCCATCGTTGCGTTAACTGATCAGGAGAATCGATGTGTTGTTTGCCTCAGAGCGCCTAAGATCAGCATAAGTCAACTTCAAGCTTTAATGCTGAAGGTTGAAGAGATGTATGATAAGGTGCTCAAACAAATTGAAGGCAAATCACAAATTGAGCTCCAGGTCTGGTATCTCTTTGCGCCTCTTGAAGGGATGCCGGGCAATAGTGTCAACTTCGTTGACCTCCCATATGCTATCAACTCTGCCCGAACTAAGGATGAAGCCTTTCAAGTGCATTGCATTCTCAATCAGCACAGGCTTATGAATGCGTTCCACACTGCTCCTGGGAAGTATCTGAGGATCTTTGCGGACCCCTATCAGCTGCAGAAGGCTATCTTGGGTCTTCGGCAAAAGCAGCTTACCATCCCTGACAGCCTCGCGTTGCATGCCGCAAGATTTCACATTTGCAATGTGAAGAACTCACAGGAAATCTTTGCTTGGAAGGTGACTCAACCTTTCAACTCTACAGAGGTTTCTCTGCAGATCACCTTTCACAATTGCACCGGAGACATGCAAGACATTATTCAGGATCTTGAGCACATCAAAATTCCGGTGCAATACAGAGGAATCGTACATGTATTAGCTGGCACTGATGTTGTCATACCTGCTGTCCATGTAACTGCTACTGTCGCCGCTGCCGATGCGCTCACTCAATGTCAATATTTCGACCTTCCTTGTGGAAGAACTGAAGTGCAATTGCTGCAAGAGGTTGTTGATGCCCCAAGATGGAGCAACAAGCCCATTAATCACATTTCCGAGAACCCTAGAGAACATTTTTTGAATTGCCACTCTGGGAGCGATAAGATTGGGCAAGGAAGATTGATCCATGTCAGAGCAAGGGATGAGTATCACCCCTTGTCCAAACAACGAATTGCTAGTACAATTTGGCACAAGGATGACCTTGAAACACATTTCCTGATCATTGACAGACAGGCGCCCTACGTTGTTATGACTGGTAAATGTGAGGATGTTCCCGAACTAGTGAAGCTGCAGAGTGTCCAGACATTTCTCAGCCAAAATGAAGCCTTTCAAGGTTGGAGATTGCCAGAAAACCTTCCTAAGGCTTCCCAAGAGGATGAAGACTTTACTGCTGAACTGGGATCTATCCAGTACCTGCTTGTCCGCATTACTGGTAAGACTGAACTAGAGATCCCGCTAGTTCTCAAGAACGGCCAACATCTCGCTTGTCATCCGGGATCTTCTGCGAGTAACAATGTTCTCGTCTCCCTACATCAGGGCGCGCTTCTATTCCTGCCACGATGTCACTCATGTGATATCATCAAGTTGATAGGGATTAATACTAGCGTCATCTATGCTTTTAACATCCACACTGATGATAGACTTAAGGCTACTGCAGCCAATAAGCCGAACAAAGCCAGATGTGCCAATCATCAGGATGGGAAGTCAAGCAAGGTTGCCATGGAGCAATCGGATACTGCCCAGTGCCCGACTTTGCTCCATGGAAAGCCTCCTGCTGTTAAAGGTGATGATACGGCTGCCAATATGTTACCGGAAAATCCTGCCTCAGCACAGTTGAGTCAAGAAGGTGGGACTGGCAAAAGAAATATTGAGAGTAGCAAGGAAAAGGTTGAGATTGCTAGAAGACGTAATACTGTCCTAAGGTTCCAGGCGGAAGTCCCGGCCAACGTTCAAGAAGAAGTGCAAAGGCGCATTGCTGGCCTTTATTGCCCTGTTGCTGCTGCCTATCGGGTCATCTCGTGTGCTCAATGGAACAAAGAGCAATGCCAGCATTACGCCCCCTTTCCTAAACAAGCAGCTCTTGTCCTTGCTGCGGTTGGATATAATATACGTGAGGCTGCTCGAGCCAAGCTTGCACACATACTTGGTCTGACCTATCTTCAATTGGCAAGTGCTACACCGTTGGAGCTTCAAAGCTTTACTGAGGTGTATAGTAAGGCCATTTGGGCTATTCCGGCCAAGGAGCAATACACCATGCTTGTGCAGATCCACTGCAAGTGCTCCATGCGCCAGCAGCCACAGCCCATTCTTGCTCTGCCGTTGCATTCTGAACAGGATTCCTCTGATCAGATCAGTATCCTCGCTGATCTAGGTCAACTTGCTGACCTTGCGATTGCGTGCATGCAGCAAAACTTGAGCCCTCGCAATGACACGTGCAAACTTGCCATTCAAAGACTCCCGTCTTTCTTCTGCCTTCTCACACAGAAGACTCAGAAAAGCTCTTTTGCGCAAGTCTGCAAAAGCGAGGCGGATATCCAAAGCTTTCTTGGCAGTACGGTATCAGTCATGCAACAGGCATATATTGTCGTTGCACTCGTTCTGCATGATCCTAGTGCTTAGCACTACCTAGTGCTACACCATGCCAAAGAACAAGCAGGAGACTCAATTCTTCTTTATGACTCAATCTACGGAGTCCGTAAAGAAAATTTGTGGGCACAATTGATTAAGGCTGAGCACTACA